AGAGACTGCAGTCAATGTCATGAGACAAAGTGTCTGTGAACTGCTGTATAGAAGATGAATTTGCTCTATAAACTTTCACCCAAATCACAATAAAATTTAAAGAAAGAAAGAAAAAGGACAAATAAATAAGTAAGAAGGCAGGAAGGAATAAAGAAGGGTGAGGGAAACTGTAAACACAGGGAGGAGGTGGCAAGAGTGCTGCTACACTGTAGAGATTTCAATCAATGGCATGAACAAACCACAATAAAAAGTTAAAAAAGAAAAGATATGTACATTTTCCTGAAGAGATCTCAAAAAAAAATCATAAACCAATACTGACCTCCAGCTACTCACATGCATGTTAAAGTGTTTACCCATTACCACTGAGTCAATTCCATCTCTACCGCAACCCCACAGAATAGAGCAGAAGTGCCTCATAAGGTTTCCAAGGCCGTAATCTTTATGGAAATAGACTGTCACATCTTTCTCCCATGGAGTGGCTGGTGGGTTCAAGCTACCTACCTTTAAGTTAACAGCCAAGCGCTATAACCACTGCACCAGTATGGCTGCTTGGTAAAGTGCTCAAGGGTGAAATACACTAATATCTGCAACTTACTTTGAAATACATCAAAAAAATTAAGGTAAAGAAAATATTTTGGCAATTCCTCAAAACACTGAACACAGAACTACCTTTTTTAAAAACCAAAACCCAAACCCACTGCCATCCAGTCAATTCTGACTCACAGAGATCCCCATGGGGTTTCCAAAGCTGTAAATCTTTATGGAAGTTGATTGCCTCATCTTCCTCCTGAAAAGTGGCTGGTGGGTTTGAACTACTGACCTTTGGTCAGCAGCCAAGTGCCTTAATAGAGTTCCTAGAACTACCATATGACCCAGCAATCCCAATCCTAGGTATGCACTCTGAAGAACTGAAGGCAAACACAACAGAAACTTGCACACCAACGTTCACTGCAGCCCTTTCCACACTAGCTAAAAGGTAGAAAGAACCTCAATGTCCATCAACAGATGAACAAACCAATGTGGCTGTCTACTGATAATGAAATATTACTCAGCCCTAGAGAGAAATGAAGTCCTGATGCACACCACAACATGGATGAGCCTCTCAAACATGCTGACTGAAATACGTCAGTAACAGGATGTCAAATACTGTATGATATCACTTTCTGAGATAAACAAACATACAGAAAACGAAGATTATTAGTGGTTACCAAGCATGTGAGGGAGGAGGGGGCACTGAGTTCATGTTAATGATGGTGGAGTAATGCAGAAAAGGAAAGTGAGAATGGTCGCACAGAATGAGGAACGTAATCCACTTCACTGAATTGGACATGTGGAAATTGACGACGTGATAAATGTTTCAGTACGTATATTTCACCAGGGTAAAATGAATTAATTAAAGATTAATAAGTTAATTAAAGACTGATGGATGGATAAGGGGATGGGTAGATGGGCAGGCACGTGACAAAGCAAATATTGTAAATGCTACTGGCAGAATCTATATGGTGTGTCTGTTCACTGTACAATTGTTTCAACCTTTTTGTATGTTTGAAAATTTTCATAGTAAAATGTTGAAAAAATAGTAATGATCCACAAGTTTGATATTCACTTCCAATCTACGTAATTTTAATTAACACTAAGACACTCTGAAGACTGCAGGGTCAGAAAGCCCCAGTTGTGTTGAGGAGTGTACAGAGACGAGCAAATCGCTACACTCACCTACGGACTGTGAACTGAACACTGCCACGATCTGGGGGCTGGCCAGGGCCTCCAGTCTGTTCTTCAGAGCCTCCAAGTGCACGCATTTCTCCGAGTAGTCTGGTGTATCCACCAGCATCATTAAACTGTTCTGCATCCCAGTGAGCTTGGCAGAAATCACAGCTAAGTCCTGTGACAAGGCCAGAACAGAGAGTATTGATACAAAATACCTGCAATCCTTACAGAAACAATAAAAGACAGACACAGAGTAATCCCCCCCAGACACCCAGACACTGTGGGAGAGAGATCCAATAGATCTACTGTCTCAGGACCATAGTACTGGGGGACACCAGACTCAATTGGCACAACAAAATACATAAAAGCCTTGTTCCGCATCCCACACTGCTGAGTACAGACTGGGGTCTTAACAGCTTTCAAGCGGCCACCTAAGATACAGCTAATGGTCTCCTATCATTGGAAGCGAAAAAGAGTGCAAAAAAACAAGGGCATTTGGAAGCAATCAGCCCTAGGACACGATGGCCCTCGAGACCAGAAGAACTAGATGGTGCCCAGCTACCAATGCCAACCACTCAGGAAAGGATCAAATCTGGAGATCCTGGATAGAGTGAGGGAAAACATGGAACAAAATTCCAAAAACTCACTAATGACCAGACTTACTGATCAGATGGAGTCTGGTGAGATCCCCAACACCATGGCCCTGGAATACATTTTGCACCTGGAATAAAACACACACCCCCAGAGGCTGGCTCTCAGCCCAATAGTTAACAAGATATACACGCAGACCACTCAACCCAGGATGACGCACCCACATAATCTACGGTAATATATCCCTTAGAGCAATACACCATGGGGCACCAGAGGACCAACATTCACACTGAGGAAATGCAGGACAAACAGAAGTGCATAGCTATGAGGGGCACAGGGGGAGGGTTACTGGCTAGGGAGGGGAGGAGACCGGGTTAGGGTTGGCCATGGTAAATGCGGAGTGAAACTAAACGAACACATAATGTTGAATGTAAAACAAGCTCTTAAAATAAAAAATTTAAAAAAGAAAAAAATCTACCTTTCAAAAAAAATAAATAAAATATCCAGCTACCTTAATTAAGCATGGACAAAACACATGAAAAGGCAATTCATAAAATAAGAAAATGGCCCATACACATACTATGCTCAAAATTATTAGTACTCAAATAAATGAAAATTAAAATAAGAGAACAAGTACCATTTTGCTCTTAACTAACTGGTAAAACTTTAGAAAAATTATAAAATCTACTGTTGGTGAGGGGGCAAAAAGAAAAGATAATCTGTTGGACCATAAGCTTATACTGTCTTCCTGCAGGCAAATTTCCCAAGGCATGTCAAAAACCTTAAAAATATTCACATTTTTTGTGGTACAAAACTCAAAATCATTTGGAGGCAAAAAAAAAAAGAAGGTGGGGACCAGGTTTGCTGGTCCAATGGAGCCTGGTGTAACCACTGAGACTATGGCCCCTAGCTGCCCTTCAGGTCTGGAATTGAACCCACAACTGTGGTTTCCAGCCAAACAAAGTACAGGCATGTGAGTTAAACATTTACCTCAAGTAGACACACGCCCTGGAGAGAACACTCATGGGAGAAGGAAGGGCTGCTTATGCACAGGGAGATAGCTCAGGGTGCAGAAGAGTATGAAGGGATGGACACTGGGAGGAGGTAACTATGGGGAGGAAGTGGGAGGGGAGCTGCTGCATTGTAAATTTTGGTCAATGACATGAGACAAAATATATGTGAACTGCTGTATGAAAAGTGAATTTACTCTGTAAATCTTCACCCAAATCCTAATAAAAAAAAAAAAGAAAAGAAAAAAAAAAATTCACATTTTTAAACCTGGTATTTCATCTATGAGTCGGGGCCGACTCGACGGCAAATAACAACAACAACAACACTTGTAACCAGTGCTCAGTGCAGCAGTATTGACAGCAGCCGAAAGGTGGCAACAGTCCAGGTGTGCATGAACAGATGAACCGATAAACAAAAGGTGGTCCTGTCCACGCAATCAAGTATTATGCGGACATAAACAGAAATGAAGGCTTGAAGATACATGAAGACACACGTTACAACCCTGAAAACATCATGCTGACTGAAGTATGTCCGTCACAAAAGGGTAAATATTGTAGAATCCCACTTATACGAAGTATCCTGAACAGGCAAATATAGAGACCCAAGTTTGTCCGCGGCCACCAATGGTTAGCAGGGGTGGGAGAGAGGGCAAGGGGCAGAGTCAGTGCTTAGGGGGCACGGAGTTTCCACTAAGGGTAATGGATAAATTTGGAAGTAGATGGTGTGTATAGCTGCAGAATATAATGGCTGTAACTGGTATCAATGAACCATACCTGTGAAAAATGTTGAAATGGTATATGTTTTGTCACATACATACATTTTTACCACATTAAAACAAACAATAAAAAAGTATTACCATTTCCTACACTTTGCAGAGGGATTAAATAACTTGCCAAGCTCACGTGGTGTATAAAGACCCCCGATCAGGTCTTTATTTACCCCATTTGGTCGGCCTGTGCATTTTCACTGAAGCCCCTCTTGAACTCACCACTGTGACACGAGGCTGCAGTCACACGCAGGGTGTGAACTGAAGGAGCTGGTGACACTCAGGGCAGTGTCGGCACTTCCCCACCTGAAATCTGCATGTTTCCGCATGCCACTCCTCACACCATCCCTACGGTTTTCAGTGAATGATGTCCCATTTGCTTTCTCCAAACGCTGAGTTCCTGCTGATAGAGATTTCACAGCACCCAATCGAGAAACCTACCTGAGTCTTGAATGTCTCCTCGATGTCGGCACTCAGTGTGCTCCACTTGTCTGCTTCCTGAAGAGATTCTGCAGCAAGCTGCATTCGGGACTTCACCTGGTCGATTTCCACCAACACCTGAAAAAGAAATGAGGAGTGAACACCAGGGATGTGACAGTTCCTTTCGTCCTACCTTCTCCCAGTGACTTGAATATCTCAGCATGCTCCTGTCTTTGGGGACTACCTGTGCCCCTTACACCACCAATCACACGGGTAAATCTGCCTAGAAGATCTCAACAACAACAAAAAAAACCAAACTCATTGCCATCGAGTCGGACCCGACTCATAGCGACCCCTCCTTGGGTCTCCAAGACGGTTATCTCTACGGAAGCAGATTGCTCAGTCTTCCTTCCGAGGAGTGGCTGGTGAGTCTGAACCGCCAGCCTTCTGGTTAGCAATCAGATGCCTTAGGCACCACACCACCAGAGCTCCCAGCAGATGTCAAACAAACACCTAAATTAAAAATCCTGGAAGAAATGATTAGTGCCACTTTCTTCCATAAAATAAAACTTTCTAATTTTCTATAAAGTTGTGGCTTTTAGGAAACTCTACATGTCAATTTTTCCATCCCTACACCACACGACAAAACCCTTGCCTGAAATACCGGGCATTAAACACTGCTTTACCATGGATTGACCATCACATGTCTGAGAATTGTCAATCCTGTGAACAAGAATCATAACTAAGACCTGCACTTTTCATAATGTTCAGAGTACAAGTTACCAATGCAAAGAGAATTATAAAGCAAAAGCTATGTCAGCTTTTCGTTTCAAACATTATTACATACCCTCTAAACAGACTTCTTTCCTTTTAGTAAGCGGTTTTGATCAGCTGACCAGAGATTGCTCTGGCTGGTCCAGAGGCCACTCTACCAGAGCCTGGGCAGCTGCAATAGTGAGGAAGGACGCCTTGAATTCTTCTTCTTGGTGGTGGGGCTCTCACTACTTCACCACCCCTATGGACAAACTTCTTACCAACCAGTATAAAATCAAATCCCAGTGATCATCAAATCACAGAATAACATAAAACAATATACAAGAAGGGAAAAACAAAATAATTCAGGGAAGACAGAAGGCTAAGAAAGTGACTAAAATTAAGAAATTAAAAATGAGACAAAATTAAAATACTCATGCTGGTTCGAAGGGATAGATGAAATGAGCCACAAAACTTTTTCAAAGCCACAAGATTTTTGAAAAGAGAGAGTAAACAAGATTAAAAAAATAACATACCACTACCACCCTCACAATTTTTTTGACCCAACAACAACAAAAAAAAACTTAAGGTAAGGTCAAAAAAATTAAGATTTAAAACAATTCAACAGGAACACACAAAATTAATAAAAGGTTAGAATTAACAAAGGGAAGGATGAAACCCATGAAATACAAAGTTAGTGAACGTATATATAATGGAAAACTAAGGAAATAAAAATAGCACAACTTTAGGAAAGAAACTGGAAGGTTTTTCTTTAAGGGACATTTGTAAGGAAAATAAAATAAAACAGCCAACATTAAAAAATACAATTTAAACATCAAACACCAAGCCATCTAATGCACTGAAACAATATTTAAAATTTCAAAATAAAGCAGAGAGATGTTGGGGAGAAAGGGAACCAAGCAGAACAGGTGTCTGAGTGCATGGCCGAAGTCAGAGTGAGGCCTGGGGTCCCACAGAGCTGTTCTCATCTCATCCACCTCTGAGTGGTCAGCTTCCAAAACCGAAAATCAACATTCAGGACAGGGGCCAAAATACCTGCATCGACTGAGCTGTGTCCTGTTCAAACTTTTTAATGTCCTCCTTGACAAGGACCATCTGCTCTTTCAGAAAAGACGCCTCCTGTTTAAGGGCTTCGACGTCACGGAGAACTCTGGGCATGTTCTGAAGGGCCAGGTGGCTTGTTTCTGCAGCAAGAACCCAAGAACAGCAGTGTGCACAAAAGGGGAACATGAGACCCATGAACAAGAGGAAGGAAATACGGTGACAAACAGGTCATCTTACCTAAAGCTCTGGTGGCATAGTGCCTAAGGCAGCTGACTGTTAACCAGAAGGCTGGAGGTTCAAACCCACCAGCCACTCCTCAGAAGGAAGGTTGGGCAATCTACTTCCGTAGTGATACTGCCTCCGAAACCCAAGGAGGGTTGCTATGAGTAGGGTTCGACTCGAGGGCACGTAACAACACCACGACCTAAAGCATTACCAGTTTTCAGAGCCTGGGGAAATGGTGGTTTGGAGGGGCACCAGGATCAAGTCCTCCCCTAAACTGTGGGTGAGGGCTGGGTGATTTACCAGGGGATGAACCATCAACCTGCCCCAACACTGACCACTGTGCTAAATCTTAATCATCCCACTAGAAAGGAAAAGATGAAGGAATCTAGCACCGAGTGAAAGCCTGCTTCCTGCCAGGTGCTTTACGCACATCCCGCCTGTGGGGTTATGTTCGTGTGTCGATTTGGCTGGGCCTGGTTGAGTGGCTGGGCAGCTGGTGGTAGTTATTTCCCATGATAAGACTGCCAATCAACTCCATGGTGGGATCTACCACAAGCAGTTGAGTAGCTGCCTTTGGGAATGTTGTCTGCTTCCAGTATATGAGCAGAAGCCTTGGGAATGGTCTCTAGCCTATGGCACGCTTGGACCCTGCATGTAGCTGTGTCGTTGCTCAGCAGCCTGCTGTGATCTGCCGACCTTGGGACTTACAATGGACTTAAAGTTAATGGCCTGCCGTGTGGTTTGGTAGCATCGGGACTGTGCCTTTTTACTTGTCAACCTTGGGGCTTCTCAGCCTCAGCAGCCAGCAGCTGCCTGAGTGAAGAAATGCCTCTAGCTCCAGTGGGCCGGGAGCAGGAGGCAGAGCTGGACCCCAAGGTTGAGGGGCTTTCGCCCAGCCCCTAGAGCCTGGCACTTTGAACTTGGACTTAAAGCCTCCAAATTGTAAGAATAAACTCCTGTTTGTTAAGGCCATCCCATTTGTGGTATACTCTTGTCAGAGTGGCACAAGGTAACCAGAACACTACCACTTAACGTCCATGGCAATCCTAGAAGATATTATTAGCAGCCACTGCTTACAGATAAGGAGCTCTGGTAGCATAGTGCCTAAGGCACTTGACTGCTAACCAGAAGGCTGGCAGTTCAAACCCACCAGCCACTCCTTGGAAGGAAGGTTGGGCAATCCTACTTCCATAGTGATACTGCCTCGGAAACCCAAGGAGCAGTCGCTATGAGTTGGGGCCGACTCGACGGCATATAACAACAACAACAACAAGCTTACAGATAAGAAAACTGAGGTTCAGAGAGGTTAAGTAACTTGCCCAAGATTTCACAGAGTGGAAGTTTACCTATGTCTGGCCCCAAAGCCTGCTGCACGTGGTGTTTGTACAGTGTAGTCCAGAAACCACCAGCATCAGCTGGAGGACAGTTAAGATGGTGGCACCTAGGCCACCTGCTAGAGACCGTAATGCTGCAGTGGTTAAGCACTCAGCTGCAAACCAAAAGGCTGGCAGTTCAAATCCACCAGCTGCCGCACAGGAGAAAGACGTGGCAGTTTGTTTCAGTAAAGATTACAGCCTTGAACACCCGATGGTGCAGTTCTATTTGGTCCTATGGGGTCACTATGAGTTGGAACTGACTCAAGGGCAATGGGTTTGGGTTTGGTATGAAACCAAGTGTAAGGCCACGGTAAGGAGAAGAGGACGCACAAAAGTAACTCTGCATTTTTTAACAGACATCCCACAGGTATGCTCAAATTTGAAACTCTTTGCAGACTACGATGTCTTCTCTGGAATTCAGAGGGTAACACCACTCTTTAAACAATTCTCTGGGGACCCAATCAAAGAAAACCCGTGTATTCTGCTCCACACGTGCGATGAGTGGAATGTAACAGACTGAGCATGTACTTCAGGCACTAGTTCATCCAGCTCTGCCATAAAACAACAACCTGTTTCCACCTCTGAGCCCAGGTAAGGTTCCGAGACTGGTCTGAGAAGCAAAGATAGAACACACAGAGGTGTTTCCGATACACAGAACTTCACTGAACTACAACAGCGCTGTTATGACCCCAGCTACATCTCCCACCTGCCAAAGCTCACAGTCACTCTTTAGGTCCTGCCTAGTTCCCTGTGGACCTCTTTTTACCAGCTCTGCAGTCCACTCCTGCTTCCGTTTTAAAACAATCACCTCCAGGAGTTGTCTCTTTCTTTCACTCGGAGAAGGACCAAGTGCTTTCAAGTATGGGAATACATGTTTTTGCCAACTCTAAGGATCCACCGACTATTACCTAATGTTCTTAAAACTTAAGTTTCAAAAGGAAATTAGTATTGCTGGAGATGAAAAACCAGCACCCACACTTAACCAAGTGTGGTAGTTATGTGCCAACTTGGCTGGGCTGGTTTTGAGTGGCTGAGCAGCTGGATGTAGTTATTCCCCACGATGAGACTGGTAATCAACTCCATGGTGGAATGTACCAGAGCAGCTGAGTAGCTGCCTTAGGGATGGGGCCTGCCTCTAGTATATAAGCAGCAGCTTTGAGAAAGGTCTCTGTAACTCTTTGGCATGCTTGGGCCCTGCACGTAGCCAAGTCTTCAGTCAGCAGCCTGTGTTTCCTGCTGAGCTTGGGACTATCTCTGGATTTGAACTAGTGGCCTGCCACGTGTAGTAATCTTGGGCCTGTGCCATTTTATTGGTTGACCTTGGGTTTGTCTGCCTGGCAGCCAGCAGCTGCCTGAGTTAGGAGAAGCCTTCAGATTCAGTAAGAGGGGTGCAAGAGGCAGGGCTGTAGCCCAAAATAGAGAGCCCTTCACCCAGGCCCTAGAGCTGGCCCTTTTAACTTGGACTTCTAGGCTCCCAAACTGTAAGAAAATAACTCCTATTTGCTAAAGCCCCGCAACTGCGGTACTTCTGTTATAGCAGCACTAGAACCAAAACAGCAGGTGTTCAACATAATGTAGCTCTGAGGGGAGACTCTCTCCTTGCTGTAATCAGAGGGACCAAAAGAGGGCGGGGCTAGGGCTCGTTTTCTCATCGAACGAAGCCCGGGAACTCCGCCGGGAGCAGGGGAGGATCCCCGGGGGCGAGGTCCCTGCGCGGCTCACCCTCCACGGCGTGGTTCACCTCTTGGATAAACAGCTGCAGCTTCATCACCAGGGTGGCCGCGTGGCCGTCCGCCTTCCCGGCCGCCGCCTCCTTCGGGCCAGCCCTGAAGGCCGCATTGATCCACTCCTTTACGTCGAAATCCTCGGCCAGGAACTTGGAGAAGTCCATGGCGGCCAGCCTCCGGCCCTGGCTTCCAGGTCGTTACCCGAGGCAGCCAAGAGGCTGTTGACGTAGGCAACCCAGCGAGGACACTGGGGCTGGCCTCCTGACAACCGACCGGGACCAACACCACCGGCGTCTTTCTCCCGAGCAGCCCGTTCCTAAACGCGCTCGGGCAGACGGCTGGAAATGACCCTCGCCGCGCACGGTAGTTCTTCCGGAAGTGAGTGACTGTTACCATAGTGACTGGGGGCGCTCCGAGCGCCTATATCCGTTCCGTGTTGGAGAACACTCTGCGCCGAAATTGCCGGCGGGTTGACAGATACATCCGTCCGCCGAATTGATTCCTGTCTCCGCCCCTTGCTTCTACAAACTTTGTTGTGTTGTTAGGTGCAAACGTTAAACATTTACTAGATGCTTACTATAAAGGCCTTAAATATATTAACTAAAAAACCAAACTCACTGCCATCGAGTCGTTTTCCGAGTACTATTATTCTCCCCACTAGAAAGTTGAAGATCTGAGATATCGAGAAGTTAAACAACTGGTTCAAAGTCTCATAGCTACAAAATGAGACTGTCAGGATTTGAACTCTGGCAAGCCTGCCACTGGAACCTGGAGGCTTTACGGTACGTTACTGCCTTCCTACAGGGAGCAAGTGAGGCAGGCCCAGGTGATCTGGTCCACCTACACACCACTTTCCCCACTTGTCTCTTACTTCTCTCCAGGCACGTTGACCTCCTATATGAAACCCCATAGTCCTTGCACTCACTGTTCAGTTTTGGCCTGAAACTAACAACGTCACCCCTCAGAAAAGAAAGACTACCAAAAAAAAAAAAAAAACTTCCTTGTGCACAGTTACACGGAGGCTGTCTAGATATAAAAAGCACTTGGCTGCTAACCCAAAGGTCAGTGGTTAGAACCCAACAGCCGCTCTGTGAGAAAAAGATGCTTCTGGAAGGATTGGAAACCCCGTGAGGATCATTCTGCTCTGTCCTATAGAGTCATTATGAATTGGAATCAACTCGGTGGCAGTGGGTTTGATGTGGTTACAGGTCATGGCGAACTATGTGACCTTGTTCTGCTGAGTGGAGAAAGAGTAGAAACTGAAAAAAATGTTTTGGACCACATCCTAGGCCAGTTGTCATCAGTGAAAGCAAGGAAGGGTACCATTGTAATTTTCACATAGTGCCATAATGGGTTAAATAAAAGATTAATGAACTTGACTTGCATTTTTGATCTGATTTTATGGTAAAGTTATCCAAAGGATGGGTGTCAGACGTTGGCACAGAAGTGCTATTTCAGTGCTTGCCACAGGTGCTACTTTCCATAAATACACCTCTACACCTACATAATGTGCTCTGAAATAGGCATAATTTTGCCATTTATCAGTTCTCATCCTGAATATACTGACTATATAAACATGGTAATTCTAGAAGACTGTATTTCTAAGAAATTATTATTATTTATTAAGGCCAGGGCGGGAGGTAGGCAGGCTGGGGCTCAGGGGCTGCTTTTTGCTTGTGGGTGGCTCATTTTAAGGCCATTGCCCAAGATACACAGATGCAGTAGGGGTAGGAACAAGTAAGAGAGACTAACTTGTCTGTCAGTTTGTTGTCCTGTGGTGGCTTGCATGTTGTTGTGAGGCTGGAGGCTATGCCACGGTGTTGCAAAAATGCCAGCAGGGTCACCCACGGTAGAGAGGTTTCAGTGGCACTTCCAGGCTTAGACGTGGAAGAAGGAAGAGGCTATCCACTTCTCAAAGAATTGACCAGTGAAAACCTTATGAATAGCAGTGAAATACTGTCTGATACATTACTAGAAAACTTTATGAACAGCCCCAATACATTGTCTGATATAGTGCCAGAAGATGAGCCCATCAGATCAGAAGGCACACAAAATTTGACTGGGGAAGAGTTGACTCCTCTGAGTAGAGACGACCTTAATGATACGGATAGAGTAAAGCTTTCAGGACCTCCATTGGCTGATGTGGCACGACTCAAAATGAGTAGAAACAGATGCAAACATCCATTAATAATTGGAAAATGGAATGTATGACTATGAATCTAGGAAAATTGGAAGTTGTCAAAAATAAAATGGAACACGTAAAGATCAATATCATAGGCATCAGTGAGCGGAAATGGACTGGTTTTGGCCATTTTAAATCAGAAAACCCATATGATCTTCTATGCCGGGAATGACAAATTATCACAAAGACTGTTTCAAGACCTGTCTTAAAGTACAATGCTGTCAGCGATAGGATAATATCCATACATCTATAAGGAAGACCAGTTAATACTACTATAATAATATTAGTATTACTACTAAGCCAAAGATGAGGAAATTGAAGATTTCTACCAACTTCTGCAGTCTGAAATTGACTGCACATGCAATCAAGTTGTGTTGATTATCACTGGTGATGGGAATGCAGAAGTTTGTAGCAAAGAAGAGTTACTGGTAATTGGAAAATATGGCCTTCTTGATTGAAATAATGCTGGAGATCAGATGATAGAATTTTGCAAGACTGATGACTTATTCATTGAAAATACCTTTTTTCAAAAACATAAATGATGACTACACACATGGACTTCACAAGATGGAATACACAGGAATCAGATTAACTACATCTGTGGCAAGAGGCAGTGGAGAAGTTCAATATCTTTGGCCAAAACAAGGCCAGGAGCTGAGTGTGGAAAAGACCATCAACTTCCCATATGCAAGTTGTTGCACCTCCTCAATTACACCTCAATATAAAGAAAACAATTGAAGTTGAAGACAATTAAAACAAGTCCACAAGAGCTAACATATGACCTTGATAATATCCTTCCTGAATTTAGAGATCATTTAAAGACTAAATTTCATGCATTGAACACCAGTGACCGAAAACCAGAGGAA